CACTTTGTTTGTCTCCCAAATATTTTAGGACAGAAGCAACATCTAGTATAATAATGAAAAATAATACAAACATCATAAGTGCTAGGCAGACAAAAATCTATTCTATTTGAGAAGACCTTCATCTGGTAGCTTTCCTGCCAACCATCCCTCTCCCCGCAAGGAAGAAAGATGGGTTTTTCCTTGCTACAAGGGGCTAAGCCCTATGAACTCAGGCTGCTGTAGTTGGTACCCACAGAGAGGAAGCCACGAGTGAGGAGGCTGCAGAGGCCTGCCTCCCAGGGCACGGGACAGGCACCTCTTTATGAAAGAGACAGAACCAGCTGAGTCCCCTCAGTATCTCTAATTTAAAAACATGATATACCTAAGGCACGCTGACCAAGGTGTTTTCTTACTAGAGGTCTGGGCTGCTTAGCTCATCTGCTTACAGCAGAAATTATCAACCTTTGGAGTGATTATTAAAAGTACAGATTTATGCCCCAGCCCATTCTTATTCTGTGGAGGTAGAGTGGGAACTGGAATTTTTATCAAGCACTGCAGGAAATTCTTTGGTACCCAGTGCCCAGGCAACACTTAGGGAACCACTGGCTTAAAGCAATAGTTCTCAGGCTGGGTCACTGGATGCATACTTAAGGGTTCCATAAAGAGAATTTTTACGTTGTGTGTTTTTATTTTGATGATTTTTCAAATGTTAAGAACATTCTGGATTATATATATAGATGATAATTTTATAGCCAACACTACTGCCAAGACTCCCGCTGAAGTGTTTACAACTATGTTGGCACTGAGTACTTTTAACTTTGTCTCAGACTAATGAGTCTTTACTCAGATCCAGAGTTTGTTCTTTTAAATTACTCCATTGCCCTCCATTGGATGGATGAATCAAAATTCATCTACTCAACTCCCTGGTGATGGAGTGCTGTTTCCAATTTTTTCATTACTATGAACAATGCTATAGGAAAGATTTATATGTATCTTCATATCTATATTTACACATGTATGTAATTTATATATTTTTTGTCCATCTTCTGTAGCATTTCTGTGGGATAAATTCCTAACAGTATTCAAAGGGTATGAGCATTTAAAACAATAAGAGGGTTACAGTCCTAGAGGCTGAGTGTTCACACCAGAGTGACACTCAAATGACATCATTTCCTTTGCTCAGGAATGGAAAAGAGGAAGAAAAGGAGCAGATTTTGGGAAATAACATGGACCTGTTGAATTTGGGAGGTCTATGGGCTGTCCAATAAACAGTGGGGCAATGGGCTTGAAGCTCAAAAGAGAGGACTTCTCCAAAGCGAAAGATTTGGGAAGTGTCACAACACAAGGCAGTGGGTGAGAGCAGCCTGGAGAGCAAGGGTAGGAGGTAAGAAGAAAGACAAGGCCAGAACTCAGGGGCGACACAGAGGAACCGGAAGGGAGGTAGCAAAAGAGATTGGAAAAGAGGTCAGAAAGTAAGAGGAGAACCAGGAAGGAGAAACATCAGTGAGACAAGAGAAGAAAAAGTTGTGAGAAGGAGTGAACGATCCCCATGTGAGCTGATATTGTCCCTGGTTTTACCATTAAGTGAAATAAGTTACAAAGCAGTATGTTCAATATAATATCACTTTTTGAATAAAAATTACACAAACCCAAATGCTTAAAGAAAATTTCTGAAAGGAACAAGAACAGCAATAAAAACAAAAGCCTGTGGTTACCTGAGAATCAGGAACAGGAGGGTGGAGCAGGGGAACTTTAACTTTTTATTTTGCACCATTTTGTACAGTTTGAATTTATTGTCATGAATATATGTTACTTTCTTACTAATGTTTTAAGGACTGACCAGCAGTATGATATTAGATTGCCAAAGAGGACAAGAAGATGAGATTGAAAAGAAGCCATTTGTTTGGCAAGAAGAGAGTCATTGGTGACCTTTAGCAGAATGGGTGCAGGGAGGAATGTGAAAGCACTGCCACAGCCTAAAACACTGCTTCTCAAGCTTTACCAAGCCTAGGAATCACCAGGGGATCTTGTCAAAATGCAGATTCTGATTCAGCAGGTCTTGGGTGGAGCCTGGGATTCCCCATTTCGAACAGCCTCCCACACGATATCAAGGTAGCTGGTCCAAGCGCTATACTTTTGGGTTGCACGATAAAGCAATCAGAATGGAGGGGATGGATGTCAGGGTGAAGGGACCACCACTTCCCAAAGTGTGTCCCCTGGAAGACGAACCCTGAGGCACACTCTAATAAAGAAGATTCTATAACCAAATAGGCTTGGGAAATACCACATACCCATCCTGATGAATCCCACCGGGTATTAGTGTTTCATTGAGAATTTTTGTATTGGCTTTTCACTTGCGCATTCCTAATGGTTAGGGCTAACCTTGTAGAAATGAAAACGCATCCACCCCTTTAGAGTCTAATGTTCATAATAGGTCATCTTAGAAGGTGAGGGGGAGCAGAAACTCGGGGCAACAGGAGCTCAGAAGTGTATAGGAGGGAAACCAAAACATGAGGAAAGAACTGCATTTTATCTCTAGTGAAACAATAGTGGAGGTCTCTTAAAAGTGAGAAAGCTCCAAAAATAGACCTCACTGGGGGCACATGCATCAGTAAACCTGGTGTTCCTCCATGGCACATGCTAGAATGCCATCGGGTATCTGCCAAACCTTATTCTACATATTTCTAGGCCCTTCTGAAATCCAGCCCAGCAAGATGGCTCCAAAGCTGACGGATGAGCGTACTTGTAAATGCATAAACCTGAATGCATTTAACTGCCAGAGGCTTCAGTGGACAGGAGCAGGAAACCACAGCAGCTGACCTGACCTCACCACTGAGGGGTGCTGAGCTTGGCATGAGCACAAACTTACTGTCCACTCACAGTGATTAAGAACAGCCTGGGGGAGACTGGGCAGCATTGATCCTTTCTCACCTGCTGAGACGGAGCAAGTGAGACCAAAAGAACCTCAGAGCTCAAATAACCTGCAGGCAGCACTGAGTCACCTGCCCAGGACCGCCAGTTCTTGGCTGCCCCTGAATGGCCTTTTAGACTCTCTTCATAGATAGTGCAGCTGAGCAGTGAGTTTCAGTGGGAGACTGGATTTCAAAGGCCCTCAGTGCAGAGGAGAGTGGAGATTATTCACCCTGGCATGCCTTTATCTTTTGAAAAGACTGCCATTCCCCTGTCTCTACCTTCTAAACTTGGCAGCAGAGGGTCCAAGTCATATGGGGCAACTTGCACAGAGATTCAAATGACACCAAATTGGCCATAAAAGATGCTCTGAAGCCTGGGCATTCACAGCTGCAGTTTTCTATCCCCCCAGCTCTCCATCAGATGTCTGGTCCGTCAGTCCCAGCTGTTGTACTTGTCTCTCAAGTTTACTAGGGAGAGAAGCAGGCCTGCAAAATTCCCTTTCTCTTTAACTTTCAGATTTACATACTTTTGGGAATAAACATATTCAAACAGCACTGTGCATGTGGTGACTATCTCAGAAACATTAGTTATGGGATAAAATGGAGACATATGCCTATTATGTAGAGTGACATGGACACACGCTCAGGGTGACTCAAGCTTGACAGTCCCAGGGGACTGAAGGTTGTTCATGTCAATGTTTCCTGTGGCTCCCTGCAAACTGCAGGGTTCTCTCCTTCCACAGTCATGGTGGTGGCAAAAGAATCCAAAATAGTTTTAATATTCACCTAACAATACATATTCCCACTGTTAAATTTGCCTTCAAATATCCTCCCTATTGCACACACTATTTACACTTTAAACTCTCAGGAGAGTTATTCAGGAAATCAAGAGTCAATTATATGGGCCCCCACATGATGTCATGTGTCATGGTGCCACCAGCAACCATGCAGCAGGATTATCTTTTTATTCTAGTCCTCTAGGTTCTCCCACTCCAATGTGTTAATTTTAAAGAATTTAGAAGCTGGCTTCAATCTACAATGAGAAAGATTTTGTCCTCTATTTTTATATGAAGCACTTTAATTGCTATTATCACTGAAGCATAGACACAGGAAAGAGGGTTTACTCTTGAAATCATTTATCCCCAGAAGGCAAAATACTTCTAAATGGACAAAAAGTAGAAGAGATGGGTGGGAGGAGACCTTAAATAAAGCTGTGCTTTTAGGGTTTGTTTTAAAGTTCTACCTGGGTGTTCTCTATCCAGGAGCTGGGTAGAAGCTCTCTATCTTCACCCATAACAAACATAGGATGAGCAGGGCTTCATTTATTCATGTGATTCATTGATTCCTTTCCTGGATTTTATGACACAGCTGCAACCAAACGTGAATTATTTGGGGGGAAGAATCTCCTCTAGTGTCTAGACAAAAGACAAAATAATGACTTCCATTTTTCCTGCATTTGAAGACCTCACCCAAGATTTCTCATAGGGAGAACATAATGACCAAATTAAAATCATTCAAAGTTATAAGTGACTTTAAATCACCTTAGGTCTTGCTTAGGAACAAGAGAAACTCTGGAACCAACTTTGGTTCCTGTCTTTCCTGACTAGCTGGGACACAAAAACCTTATCAAGGCCCAAATCCCTTGCTTCTTGGGTAAGAGAAAGGACGGAGCTGAGCTCCACTTGGCCCACTTAAGAAACACTCTTGGCTGGCAAAATGGACCACGCTAATGGCGGGTCCAGCACCTAGAGGGGTTGTAGCCACTCCCCATTACTGAGAAGGTGGAATCGGAAAAGGGCCTGCACAGTAACAAAAGCATCACTTTCCAAGGTAGGAAATCCAGCCCTGGAATGAGAGGAGGGGCACATTCACTGGCTCATGGGAGCTGCGAGTGTACACAAACGGCCTCTTCTCTGGCACGTGGTCCAGCCGGGTGCGTAAGTCTCTCATCTCCCAACCCCCTTGGAAATGTTCTCGTGTCCCCTGTTTGACCAGCACTGGGACGACTGCAGGGCTGAGCCGGCACCGCCCCTGCTGAATACCTCGGGGCAGCCAGAGGGAGAACACTCACCACAAACCCCGATGCAGCCAGAAGAGCCCTCACGTTACCTTTTTGCTTGTTGAGAAACAGCAGAGGGGGCGCTGCGCCAGGACCTCGCGGCCCAGGGCTCTTCGCGGGGCTGTGGTTGGAACTCGCCGCTTCCGCGGGTTCCCGCTGCGGCGTGGACCCTTCGGGCGCCGGGGCCCCGTCTCCGGAGTGCGGCTCGGGGCCGGCCTGGGGGGACGGGTACGTGGGGAAGGGCCCGGGCGCGCCCTCCTCGGCCCGCGCGCCCGGCTCCTCCCGGATGGCGTCCAGGGCGCCCGGCTTCATCGGCGGCGAGTCCTGCTCCCGCTTGGGGCTCTCCTCGGAGGCCGAGGAGGCGTCGCACGACTCGATGATGAGCTCGCTGTCCAGCTCGGCCTCGCGCTCCTCCCTCAGGATGCTGTACTGGATGGACGGCGAGGCGGGCGAGGGCGGCGGGCCGCCCACGTGGCCGAAGGTCACGTAGCCCGAGGGCAGCGCGTCCTCGGCGGCCATCGGGTCCTCGGACACCAGCTCGATCTCAGAGTCGCCCGACTCCGCGCTGCTGGCCTCGTGGTCCAGGGGGCTGGGGATGGTCGGCAGCCCAGACCTGGCCTTGACCTCAGGCCTGTCGGCCGCCTGGCTCACTGGCCGCGGGCTCTCGGTGGTTTCGTAGGATAACCCCTTTGCTTCTTTAATGGCGGTGATTAGCTCGTCCTCAGAGATGCTGCATTTCCCCTGGGATTCTGCAGCAGATGGTTCTGTCGTCCCACAGAACGATGAAGAGCCAGAGAGGCACACACACGGACAGACAGATGGACAGAGAAAGAAGAAATAAAACAAAATTCCATTAGGGGAGATGTTTTGTCGTTGCTTGAGAAACACATATCTTATTAGCACGAAAATAATCTGTTTCCAGGGCTATGCTGGAAAGACAGGCCACCTGAACTAAAAGGCTAATGACTGTTATGGGCCAATTAATCAGTGTTTTACATGTCTATCTATCTTAATCTAGCTATTTTTAAAAAATGACCCAGCGATATCTTAGCAACAGAACTTGTTTCTTTTTGTTTCAATGCAGCATAGCTTCCAAAAGTCATCATTTTAATTTGATTCGTTCTCTTGGGGAAGTTTTTAAGTTTCACAGATTTCATCAGATAATCTGATGTATGTAACTCTCTAATTGGGCCCACCAATATCAACAAATCTGGAAATCATCCATTATTCTTTGTCCACTGCGTTCATGTTCTCTCCTTTAATAAAAAGAATAGGTGATTTGGAGGCATGGATAAAACTTGACTTCTGAGCTTTACTTATCAATATTTTTACACTTTTTTAGTTGGAAATGCAACTGGGTGGAGCAATGTAAGAGATAATTTTTGCCAATTCCACCAAGCAGACTTGTGCAGATTACCATAACGCATAATCCCACCAACCTTGCCCTCCCTTCACCACCCTTCACCTCCTCTTGAGGAGAATAAAACCTGAGAGTCACCCCTAGTCCCCTGGGTGAATGCCTGCCTTCTGCCTGATGTTTATCCAGATGGCCTCAAGACTACACTGGTAATCTTGCTGAGCTTTCTCCCCTGGGGATGAGAGATCTGGGATCACCATGACAACAGTGTTCAGGAGCTTGGTTTTCCCTTGCCATACAGCAGGGCCTTCTTTCAGAATATCTTAGACAGTGGTCCTTGGGTCCTTTTGTGAGCAAGAACTAGTTGGCATTTCTCCAAAGCTTTAAGGCCATTGAGGGGGATCTATGACAAGATCCTCTGTTGCTTCAGGATTGCGGGAGAACCCCAATGGATAAAACAGTTTAGATTTTTCTAATTCTATAAAGCAGAATTGATTTTATTCTTTATATCATTCATTCATCTATTATTTATTGAGAACCTAATATCTGTTAGGCCCTCTTCTAGGTACTTGGGATATATTAGTGAATGAAACAGATAACAAAATTTTTGCTTATATCCTAGTGGGAGGAACACAATATATTACATAAACAATATATGTAATAAGTGAAGTATATAGTATGTTTGAAAATGTTAAGTGCTATGGAAAAAAATAGAGTAGGGTAAGGGAATCCCTAGTGCTGGGACAGGGTGGTGATGAGTTTACAATTTTAAATAGGAAAGTAAGGACGGGCCTCATTGAGAAGGTAAACCTATATTTAATACTTGAAAGAGGTGACAGAGTGACTCATGAAAATATCCAGAGGAAAAACATGCCAAGCAGACAGAACAGAGAACACATAGGCACAGATGTGAGGGCTGCAATGATTTCCAGGTGTCACAAGGAGGCCATTATGTGTGGGTGAAGTGAATAAGAGGGACAGTAATAGGAGAAGAGGTCAGAGACTTGGAGGGGTGGTGGGAGGGGCAGATCAGGTAGGATCTCAAGGGGTTTTTATTGTGAGTGAAAGGAGAAGCCATTAGGGAGTTTTGAGCAGAGAAAGGATGTGATCTATGGGTTTTTATTTTTTTAGTAATTTAACAACCACTTCATTATCTTTTTAAAACATAATTTATGTTTTAAAAAAATTATCATAGGATCCTAAACTCTATTTATATAGTAGTTAGTTCCTTAATAAGTTGTGCACATAGTTCTTTGATTTCAAACAGCATAAGAGTGTAAAAGTTGTATCAGCTGACTCCAGAATGGTAGGCCAGAGCAAGGATAAAGAAGATAAGGAGCAGAGGCTACTGTAAACTAAGGAATGCTCTATACACCCAAAGCACTACCAGCAGCAGCATCATCACAGCGCATTTGCTGAGCATCTGCTATCTCCAAGAAACACATCTAACCCACAAGGACTCACACAGATTCAAGGTGAAGGGATGGAAAAAAAATTTTCACACAAACTGAAATGAAAAGAGAGCAGATGTAGCCATTCTCATATTGGATAAAATAGACTTTAAATCAACAATGGTAAAGAAAGAAAAAGATGATCATTATATAATGGTAAAGGTAGCAATTCAACAAGAACATAAAACAATCCTAAATATATATGCACTTAACACAGGAGCTCCCAGATTCATAAAGCAAATCCTACTAGATCTAAGCAAAGAAATAAACAGTATCTTCGTAATTGCAGGAAACTTCAACACCCCACTGACAGAGCTGGATAGATCATCAAAACAAAAAATCTGTAAAGAAACACTAGACTTAAACAGGACTTCAGAACAAACGGACTTAACAGACAATTACAAAACATTCTACCCTAAAACTACTGAATATATATTCTTCTCATCAGCACATGGGACATTCTCCAAGATTGATCATATCTTAGGCCACAAAATATGTCTTAACAAATTCAAAAAAATCAAACTTATACCATGTATCGTCTCAAACCACAGTGGAATAAAACTAGAAATCAATTCCAAGAGAAACACTCAAATCTACATAAAGTCATGGAAATTAAACAACCTGCTGAGGAACTATTCTCAGGTCAATGATGAAGTTAAGATGGAAATCAAAATATTGCTCGAACTGAACAACAAAGGTGAAACAAGCTACCAAAAATCTGTGGGATAGAGTAAAAACAGTCCTAAGGGGAAAATTCATAGCCTTAAATGCCTACATTGAAAATACAGAAAAATCACACATTAATAATCTAATGTCATATCTCAAGGAATTAGAAAAGGAAGAGAAAATCAAACCCAAAGTCAACAGGAGAAAAGAAACAAAAAAACTCAGAGCAGAACTAAATAAAATTGAAACAAAATAAAACAATACAAAAGGATCAACAAAACAAAAAATTTGTTCTTTGAAAAGATAAACAAAATCGATAGACTTCTTGCTAGATTAACTAGAAATAGAAGAGAAAGGACCCAAATAAGCTCAATCAGAAATGAAAAAAAAAAAAAGGAGATATTACAATAGATATCACAGAAATGCAAAATACCATCTGTGAATACTATGAAAATCTCTATACACATAAACTAGAAAACGTAGAGAAAATGGACAAATTCCTGGAAACACACAACCTCCATGACTCAATCACGAAGAAATAGAACTCCAGAACAGGTCGATAGTGAGCAAGAATGAGGGGCTAGCCGTAGGATGGGTAGAAGAGGAAAATTCAAGAGGCACTGAAGAGAGAGAAGTCATAGATTTGGAGTTTGATTCATGTGATGAGTGAGAAAAGAGGGGTGTTGAAAGTCACTCAGATATGGTGAGCATGGGCGAGTAAAATGAACAGGGATTCCGTACCTAGACACATGGAAATCAGGACAATGAGCTTCCTTGATGGGGCAGGGGAAGAAAATTCTTATCTTGGATGTTTCTTTTCTTTCTGGGGTACACATCCTTCCAGTTTCTCATGCAGGAGGCCTCCTCAGACTGCTAGGACTGACCAAACTCCTGCTTGTGTGAAATTCCTAGGAGACCATATAGCAAGGCAACCCACCCTTGAGCCATCTGGCCTGATGCTGTACCACTCAGGAGATGGGTGCCCACTCATTCTGCACAACTGGTAGCCCCTGGGCAGCTTTGAATTTATGCAATGATTTGATTAAACTCTGTCTCTTCACCCTCTGCCACTCTCCCTGACCCCAGACTGAAAGCACCGCGAGGGCAAAGGCAGCCAAGGTATATTTGTTCACTCTCATATCCGTTGCACCTGGCACAGGGTCTGGCATACGGGAGGTACTTGATAAATAGTGTTTGTGTGAGAGCTAGCTCAAAGTTTTAGAACCCTGGTTCTTGGTCAATTATGTGGCTCAAAACAGCCCTCAGAAATTCAGACATAGTAGAAGTAGGTCTGGATGGAGCCCAGGCATCTGCATTTTGTGACTCCAAATGGGATTCTAACAGTCATCTCCATTTAGGGTTGCCAGACTTAACAAATAAAAATACAGGACACTCAGTTAAATTTGAATTTCAGCTAAACAATCAATTTTTTTAAGTGTAAGTATGTCCCATGAAATACTTGTATTTTATCTGGCCACCCTCCCTCCAGTTGAAAACTACTATGTCAGAGCATTCAGAAAAGAAGACTCAGGTTCTTGCTTAATTTATTCAAGAGTAAGGATGATTCCAGACAACTGTGGGATGTGGGAGAAAAGGGACTGACTGATACGTTCCATCTTAGGCCTGTGAAGGTGCTGCCTTAAAAATAATTCACTCTTATTATGGGTCAAAAGGCACTTCACAGCTCTGATAGACATTGTCTTCTGTTCTTAATGGGAACTAAAAAATTAATAAAATGTTAGGATGAATCAGGAAAAATTTTAGAAAAAAACAGAAGTATCCCTACCTGTGTTTCAAGCCTTATAGACCTCTCACTGACACATTGGTTATTATGTATCAGGACTGACACAGCAAAGCTAGAAACGGTCAACTAAAATCATCCAATAGGATATGAAAACTGAGAATAAGAATCACCTCCCACCCCGGGTAATGTGTGCACTGCTGCTGACAGTCGCAATGATATAATTGAGAGGGATAAAAGGAAAGGTGAACGTGGGCTATTTCACCAAGTCTCAGGTGTTCATTCTTCACGCAGCATCCAGAAGGACCCTGTGAAAACCCATCTGATCCTGCCGTTCTTTCCTTCCTTTCCCCCACTCCAGCCACACTGGCTTTCCAGCTGCTCCTTGAACACCTTAAACACACAGCACGTTCCCAGCTCAGGGCCCTTGTGTTGGCCGTCCCCCCAGCCTGGCCCCCTCCTCAGATGTCTCCATGGCTTGCCCCTGGTGCCATTCAGCTCTCGCTCAACCATGTGCTCAGAGAAGTCTGTCCTCACCCCCAGCCCCACCACTCTCTAACACTTTACTTTGCTGTATTTTTCTTCATAACCATTATAACTACCTGATATTATATATTTATTTGTGTGTATGTCTTTCCATCTAGAATGCAAGCTCCAAGCAGGCAGGGATCTTCTTGTGACTCACCACTGCATCCCTAGCAGTAATGGACTAAGCCCAGCACGAAGTAAATGGTCAACACATATTTGTTAAACGAATGGATGAACGAATGAATGATGTCCCTTCCCAACTTAAAACCCTCCAATGGCTTCCAGTTGCATTTGGAACAAAATCCAAATTCCTTATCCATGATCTGGGCCCTGGCCACCCCTGCCCACCGAAACTGTGTTCTAAAAGTCACACTCCTCTCTTGTGTCTTTTCACTGTTGGCCTTCTTTCAGATCCCAAGTAACACAGCCTTGGGGCCTGTGCATTTGCTATACTCTGTGCCAGAGATCCCTCTTTGCCTTTCTCTGTGAATTGTGGGCTCCTTCTCCTCATTCAGATTTCAGATCACAGGTCAGCTCCTCAGAGAGGACGTCCCTAATCTGCTCACACCCAACTCTCTTTCACTATGTATAGTACTCACACTTTGTGAAATGACACTATATATTTATGTGTTTGTTTTTATTGTGTGACTCCTGTGACTAGCAGGTAAGCTCCATGAGGGCAGGCATCTTGTGCATCTTATCATTACCTGTGCATCTTACTATTACCCCATGTTGGAACTTAATCCCAATGTGGTAGTATTGAGAGGTGGAGCCTTCAAGAAGTGATTAGATCATGAGGGCTCTGACCTGATCCATTCATGGATTAATGGATTAAAAAGCTAAAGGATTGATATGTTATCACAAAAGTAGAACTGGTGGCTTTATAAGAAGAGAAAGAGAGACCCGGGAAAAGCATGTTAGCACGTTCAGTCTCTTCCACATGTGATACCCTGCACTACCTCGGGACCTTCCAAGAGTCCCCAAAAGCAAGAAGGCTCTCACCAGAAGCATCCCCTCGACCTTGGAATTCCTAGCCTTGGACTTATTTAAGAAATAAATTTCTTAAATAAGTTTCAGGTATTCTGTTATAAGCAACAGAAAACGGACTAAGACAACTCAGGTTGAGGAGGAAAGCTAAGCTATAAGCAGGCAATATCTCCCTCTTTGCTCTGAACTGTAGGGCCATATGAGGATTTTAATCTTTAATCCTTAACCCAGTATGTCATCCTTGCTCCCTGCCCAACCTCAAATGAAGAAAGAAATATTTTACAAAAAAAAAAATTTGATAGGACTTTAAGGGAAATCCTGGATTTCAACCTTTGTACAATGGACACAGGCTAAAAAAGTTGCATGTTAATTAAATTAGTTTAAGTGAGATTTAAGGGCACCATATAGTAAAGTATTTTTAATGCAAATTGTCATTCCTTAGTATGTGTTTTAGGAGTTCAGATTTCCACATGCTGGGTTTTCCCAAGGCAAGGAATACCAGGGCCTTTACCTGTTCCAGAAGACGGAGGGGTGACAGATCCTGGGCTGTCATCTTCAGGCTCTGAGACAGTGACGGTGGGGACTGTGTCAGGACTTGGCTTCAGACAGATGTCTTGTTTCTCGGAGGTCTTCTCCTGCGCGGGACTTTCAACAGAAGGTTCTATCTCCGTCAGAGTGATTTTGACAGGGGCAGTGATCAGAGGAGCACTGGGCTGTTCTTCAGAGAGATCATCTATGTAAGGAGCAAAGGTGGATTCTTCAAATAAATGGTCCTTGATGATTTTTCCCTCCACAGGAGCCGGTTTGTCAGGTTCACGGACCCTGTCAGGTTTTGTTGAGATTTCAGTGTCCTTATTCTTCAAGTTCAAGTCTTTACCTTCTGATTCTGGGTGACGTTGCTCCTGCTGTTTCACCTCCTCTGGCCTGGTGATGTCAATGTATTTATAGGCTTCTGCTTTCATCTGGCCCAGGGGGTCTGCTAAGATCTTGTTCACTTCAGTGGATTCTGCAGGAGTCATCTCTATTCCAGAATCAGAACTAAATAAGCCATGAGGCTCTATCCCAGGCACATCGGGTAAGGAGGGGCTGGGGGCACCCAACTCCTCAGGGCTCTCTGAAATGGGGACGTGGCCATTTTCCTTCTGAAGAATTCCAGTGAAGTATGTGGAATCCTCCCGAGGTGGGTAACAGATGTCGGAAATTAGAGATGTGTAACACGCTCCTTCCTCGTCTTTTGATGTTGTTGAAAAGGTGTGGTCCATGGCACTGGAGACATCTGCCACACCTATGAATCCAAACAGCAGCAGACAATGAGTGGGCACCTGGTCTCAGTTCCCTTTCCTGCCTAACCCCCGACATCCCACCTCTGCCTTGTAGAAACACTGCATCCTTTCTCCTCAAGGCCTTGGAGTTCCCTCAGAGCTCCCTCAGGGTACTGGTATGTTACTTTTCCTTATCTCTCTGATAGTCTACAGTTCTCATATTTTTCTGGTGGCAGACCCCAGAGGCTCACATAAGCTGCCCAGATAAGTTGGGGACAGATCCCAGAGAACTAGGAAACTTATTTTCACCATCTACTACAGCAATACACAGTGACTTTACCTTACTCAGTATTATTAAAAAGAAACCCTCTTTGTATCTAAAGCACTGGCAGCTCTTTAAGTAGAGATGGAAATATAGGCTAACTCAGGTTTGTAAATGCAACAACAGGATAGTCAACTGGGTAGAGGAACTGCTCTTGGAGACTCACAGAGCTGGAGAGGCCTCATGGGACCCTCTGGTCCAGGCCCTTCATTCATGGACATCACACACACATGCCCACACACACACACACACACACACACACACACACACATATACACAAACACACACAAAGTATGCACAATATAAAACCCTTAAGACATACTTGAAGAATATACCAGACTAGGGCACCAACTCATATAAAAGAGATCAAAGTAGTGACAGTAACATATCAATAGCTAACATTTGAGTGCTTGCTATGTGTCAGATGTAGTTCCAAGCTTTTCATTAATATTGACTCATTTAATCACCAAAGCAATCCTACAAGGTTGATACTATTGTTAGGCTCATTTTACAGAAGAGGAAACTAAGGGCCAAAGAAGTTAAATGTCTCACGGAAGATCTCACAGGCAGTAAGTGGTAGAGCCACTATTCAAACCCAAGCAGCTTAGAAGCCAGGAAACCTCCCCTAATGTCCTTTGTACCTCCTCAAATCAGATTGTGAAGTTTTTTAAAAGTGATTTTGATTCAGCATTATTACAAATAAACTTAACTTTTTTCTTTTCCTAGCTTTGTTGGTTGCACAAGCTCTTGTTTGTTTATGAGGGAATAGAGAAGCACAGAACCTCTTTGCAGTTCTAGCACTCTCCTGCCCCAGTACCTTTGCACTAGCTGCTTTCTTTTCTTGGAACTCTCTTCCCTCAGATTCCTGTATACCTAGTTCACTCACCTCCAAGTCTTTGCTCAAATGTCACCTTCTTAAGGAAGACAGCCCTGAACCCTCTATCTCAAATTGCGACTCCTCCCCTCCCTATTCCCTGGCAATCTTGTTCCCTTCTATCTTCCCTACTTTTTCTTTTTTCCATATCACTTATCTCCTTCTAACATACTGTGTAATTAACATATTTATTTATTATGTATTTATCGATTGTCTCTTCTTGCTACGTAATCTCCATGAGAGCAGGAACCTCTGGCTATTTTGTTCACTAATATAGCCCAGCACCTAGAACAGAGCCTGGTGCATACTAGGTACTCAATAAATATTTGCAAAATAAAGGAAAATGATTATGAAGTTTAGACTTAAGCACAAATATCAGGATTATGTGAGAAGACAGGTTGGAAAAGTCCCCCAGATTGCTAATGATACTTCATTCAGCAAATGGCCTAATTTTGCGAGCAACAGACCAGTTCAAATCTGTACATTTCAACTAGGCTTCTAATTATACTTCCTTTGCATATGGCAGCCTCTCTTTTGAAGTTAGACCAAAAAAGCTCAACAGCAAAAGAAATAAGGAAAAGGAATTGCCTAAGTATACATAGACCACCAAAGGAAAAGCTGTTACATTTAAATTCATGTGTGCACACACACCCTTATCCTAAAGAATTCCTGAAGTTTCTTTCATTATATGCACCCAGCCTATATGTAGATCTCACTGGAGGCAGGGAAATCAACCTGAGATATTTCACTACAGATATGTGGATCCTGGAATTCTCTACTACAATTATTTGGAACCACTTGCAGGTGTTAATAAGTAATTGTTCACCAGAAAGTAAGGAGAGGTTTGTCCATGCATATGAAGAGTATTGAGATGTGGCAACTGGGAAGGGAATGCTCTCCTGGAGAATACACAGTAGCTAGTTTCCAGGGCTGTGTCACTGCAAACTAATCATCCAACAGTCGCACAATGCTTCCACTGCAGGGGCCACCACAGGGGCCACCACATCACCTATACCTGGTGTGTTGCATGTCTCTCAAGCCCACTGTCTCCTGCCACGAGAGTTATCACGCTAAACACAAATGTCACTTGTTCAGCACTCAGCCCCAGGGCCCTGCCCTGCCTCACTGGATAATCCTTAAACTCTGCCGCCTGGCATGCTCGACAGTGTGAATTCCACTGTCACGGTGCTGTCTGCTCTGCTCCTCTCACTTACCCTCCAGTCCAGGCATACAAAGCCCTTCACAGTCTCACATGCGATGCAACAGCTTTTCTAGCTCGGTCTTCCACTCTTCAGTGCAAACTCCAGGTTCTAACCTGCCCATCACTTCCCCAACACTGTATCCTTCTAACCTCCACATCCAAATTTCTGCCCTTCCATCTCAAACCATCAAACATTAGAAGCTTTAAATGACACCTTCTCCATGATGGATTTGCTAACTGTCTTAGCTCATTCTGGCTGCTACAGCGAAAATATTACAAACTGCATAGCTTATAAACAATAGAAATGTATTCTAGGGGCTAAGAAGATCAAGGTGCTATTGGATTCAGTGTCTGGTGAGGGCCCACTTCCTAGATGGGTGTCTTTTTGCTGTAACTGTACATGGTGGAAGGGGTGAGAGATCTCTATGGGGCCTCTTGTTTAAGGGCACCAATCCCACGCATGAGGGCTCTGCCCTCATAATCTAATCACCTCCCCAAAGCTCCACCTCCAAATGCCATCACCTTGAGGGTTAGGATTTTAACCTATGAATTTTGGGGAACAAAAACATTCAGACAACAGCACTAGCCATGCGTGCAGGATCTGACCCCTTCCTATTGTTCTCTGTACTCATTCTTATAGTATAAACTGAATTTATACTGCTCATGTGGCATATACCACAGGTGACGTATATATGTACATGTTATCTCTTGCTAACCTGCCAGCTGCTGAATATAAGGCTTATGTCTGGCATGCTATATTGTACACAATAGGCATCCAATACAAAATAAATAAATGGACCAAATAGTCAATGAGTGGGTTTATTCTATGCAGCTACTGAGAACAAACTGAGACTAATTAATGCAAGTTACAGATGGGATGTTTTAAATATGTTATGTGTAAACAGTCTAAGAATTTGAGTTATCTCACAATGGAATGGAGCTGAATCTCAGAACAAGAGGGTTCTGATCCTAGTAGACACTCAGGCAGAGAGAGGCCCATCACCTGTATTGGCAGAAGCCAGCACTTTGTAGAAAGCTGGATGAGACAACTGCAGAATTCGCTTCCAACTTTCCATGTTTTTTTACTGATTGTCTACCGCTATAGTCTGACACAACTTCCTTTTTACTTCATCCTTTCCTGAAAAACAAAATCAATATAATTTTCCCCAAGGTGATGCCTCAGAGAATAGGGGCTTATAAGATGTATAGTAGTAATTAAAGGAAGAGAACCTAGATTATATCTACATTATTTGAGAGACTGTAAGTAGAATCAACAATTGGGAAGAACTCTCATCCCTAAAATTCTTACCCTACCAGGTCTGCCTTGCTCAGAGAACCCAGCATGAAATTGGAAGGATCCCTTTGCCACACTCTATAAATATTACTAATTAGAGAAATAGGAAGATGAACAATGTCATGTGTGTAAATCGCACATTTTATTTTTTAAAATGTTTTTTCACACATTTTAGATGGTAACATGGTAGAACCATCATAAAAAATGAATAATTCAAATACTTTGAATATGGTTATGTCCCATTTTTGAAAATTGAGCTGAATACTCTGAAAGATTCTCAAGGTTCTGACTTACTGAATTTGAAAATATTATATACATTATATGGTGCCTATCAGATAGAATTAGTGTAAACAGAAAGTCCTCCTAGACAGTAAATTATGTTACAGCAGAGTCCTGTGGGGATTGTTGGAACTGAAAAGCAGAACTGCGTCTTAAGGCTCAGGAAAGCCAATTAATTCTTGTCAGCACTTCCTGCAGAGCTGGGAGATGTGGGAACTGAGGCCGAGCACACAAGCCAGGTGCCCTAGGTCGGAACCCATATTGTCACGTTGTTAAATAAAATCCACTAAATAAAAGTGCTTTCCTTGTCTATACTAGAAATTACTACACACACACACACACACACACACACACACACACACACACACACATACATATAAAACCAAGGATTCCTTGGAATATCTGATTTTCTCATTCTCTCCAGTTGTATCCTAGGCCACCTAGAAGTCTAATTCATGAGGAAGCAGATGTACCTCAAGAGTCAACAACATGTGAACCCACAGATGCCCTCTCAGCAGGTGGCTGGACTCAGAGGGCACAGCAAATTCAGTTACCTGGATGCACTTACAATGGCATTGACTTTCAAAATTTCAATTTACAAGTTAGCTCTCCAGGAAAGCACTTATAATAAAAACTGAAGGATCCATAGGTCACTATTTCTAATCAGAAGCTAAGTAGAAGGATGAAAATAAGCTGACACATTACCATCAAATCACAATGCATTCTGATAAAATCAGGCTTTTGTAATCCACCAATGTCATAGATCAGAGAGACTAACCATGAGGCAGACAAATTCAGTAATCTCATGAAGAGTAGGTGTTTTATTTTATTTTTTTAAATTCTCTGGCAATACTAAGGAATGGGATGACAAAGATGACTTGCTGAAGATAATTTTACTTTTCCCAAGGAAAGCTTCAAGCCTAAAATCTTAATTTTTAATGCTGACTCATCCTCACAGAATGGAGCTCATTCAGTTGGTGGCCTACAGCTGAGGCAGTTTGTGTTGTGGCTCAACCACTATCAGTTGTGAGACTCTGGGCAAGTTAGCTGCTT